TCTTCTTCTTCTTCTTCTTCTTCTTCTTCTTCTTCTTCTTCTTCTTCCTCTTCTTCTTCTTCTCCCTCCTCCTCCTCTTCTTCCTCTTCCTCTTCTTCTCCTTCCTCTTCCTCTTCTTCCTCTTCCTCTCCTTCTTCTTCCTCTTCCTCTTCTTCCTCTTCCTCTCCTTCTTCTTCTTTTTTTTTAAGACAGGGTTTCATGTAGCCCCGCTAGCCACAAACTTGCTATGTAGCTAAGGCTGGCCTTGATCCGCCTGCCTTCACCTCCCAATGCTGCTATTACACACGAGCACCACACCTGGTTTGTGGGTTGCTGGAAATGGACTCCAGACCATAATTATGCTAGGCAAGCACACTACCAACTAAGTTACAGCCCATTTCCAATTTTTTGAATGAGACAGAAACTCATTTCACAGCCTAGGCTAGCCTTGAACTCAAAGCAATCCTCCTACCTCAGCATTCTGAGAGCTGGTATTACAGGAGTGTGTCACCATATCCTACTAGCACTTTTCTTACACCACCCACGAAATCCCCTACTCCAAGCTATGGCTGTCAAGCTGGTCTCAAGACCTGGGTCCTAGCAGTAGGTCTACTCTGACATGGTGACTGTGCTCACAGGTTTCCAGACAGCAGCTCAAAGCAAGGGCTTGTTCTTCACAGTAGTATACTTTAAACAGTTATTAGGGAGAAACAGCTGACCACAGTGTCTACCAGTGCCGTGACATTGCCTACACCACCCTGCTCTGGATTTAGACTTGGCATGTCCTCCTCCAGGGTCTAGACTGATAAGTATAGTCTTTAACCCTCATTAGGAAACTTCTCTTTGCAAGACAGACCCCTACAGAAAACTACAGCCAATCAATATGCAGAGCTGTGGAGCATCTACAAAATGCTCCCACACCTAAGACTCAGGGGGCATTGTGGAAGAGGAGGCGGGAAGATTATAAGGTCCAGAAAATCAAGGACTTTGTGTGCAATTGTGTCTCATCGTGACATCAGAAGCTACACCCATAAAGTCTCACCCACACGATTGCCCAAACGTGAGCTGAGCAACAAGCACACCAACAAATATGCCAAAGTGGACAGATGAAGACCACAGGCCTCAACCCTACACAAAGAGCTACGGGCAACTGAGGAAAGCTGGGAGTGGGAGAAGCTGCCCTCCCCAAGGAAAAACACAACCACTGGGTTGTCCAGCGGCAAATGGTCAACCCTGAAAACACACACACACAAGTGACAGTGCATACAAAAACATAATATACATGCAAGACATATACACTCAAGAACAACTGATGTCCAAAGAGGCCATAAATCTGAAGGAAAGCAGGGAGGGGGATATGGGAGAGTTTGGAGGGAAGAAATGTTGCAATTAAAGCACAATCTCAAAAATAAACAATGATGAAACACATGGTCTAGTGCTGTGACTGAAGCTCAGGGGTGAAACACTTGCCTAGAGCCCTGAGAGCAGCCCTGCCCTGAGGGGCAGAGTGGGGAGTCTGTCTACACAGTCTAACCCTGGACACATGATGCGGAGTGAAACCCAGGGGACAGCAGACGGTGTAGTACGTGCTCAAGGAAGGCAGACCCAGAGTCTGGAAGCAGCTGAGTGGCTAGGGTAGTGAGGAAGGAAGGGTGAAGAGTGACTACTTAGGGCCGTCTGCGAGCAAGCCTAAGGACCTGAATTTGAAACCTGGGTCCCATGTGGTGGAAGGAGAGAACCAGCTCCCCCAAGCTGACCACCCATGCATGCGTACCCCCTCTATGATAAATAAGCATAGAAGGGTGACTGCTTGGCCTCCCTTCAGAGGACGACAGCCTCCCAGAGCCGCACTGAAGGGAGGACGTGGGCAGGAACATGCTCACACACTTCACAGCCACTAACATGAGGTTGGGCTATGGCTCTGTGGCAGCATGCCTGCACACCATGCACAAGGCCCTGCACCCCACGCACAACTCTGCAGCAGCAGGGTGTGATCCTTACACTTGGACATGGATCTCTCAGAAAGCAGGGCCAGGAGTTTAAGATTATCCTGTGTTAGCGTCAGAAAGGAAGGGAAGGGGCAGGGAGGGAGCAAGATCTAGATGGACAGAGGACTGGTTGGGTGGTGGTTCATGTGCCCAGCAAGTCTGCAACCACCACGTGTAACAATAACTGCCACTCAGGGGCCTGGGAGAGGCAGGCTGCCTGAGGCCATGCTGGCGCCGAGGAGGAGCCCAGTCTTGGGACTCTTCTACTCACCATATTGGGAGCTGCCTACAGGTCCCCTCTAGCAAGGATCAACTGGGAAACCGGCCTGGTCAGCACATGCAGTGGTGGTGCGAGCCTTCCTGTGGAGCCTGCGAGGCTGCAGGCTGCCTGTAAAGACGTGGCTTAAATCTTCCTATTTCTTGAAGTTCACGATGGTTCTGAGTTGTGACCTAGCACTGAGCCTCCACAGGGTGCAGGAGCATCCAAGGACAGCCTGGAGGGAGAAGGGAGGGGGACAAAAAGACAGAGAACTGTGTGGCTTCAGACTCTATTTTCTGGGGTGACCAAGCAGGGACAATGCAATCTGTGTTCTAGCCCTGACCCCAATTTCTACTGCCTGCACTGCTCCTGCTGCAGACGCTGCAAAGGTCTCCTTTTAAATTTACATTTTAAAATATTTATGTGTGTGTGCGCATGACATGTTAAGCACGTGGAGGTCAGAGGACAACTTGGAGTCAGTTCTCCTTTCCCCTTATCAACCTTTCATCAAACTCAGGCAGCAGGCTTGGTGGAATGTCACTGAAGCATCTCATCAGCCCAGCAGGGGATCTCTTACAACTGTGTTCCTATGCCCTGGCCTCCTAGAAGCTCCTGTCTAGTTTATCATCAAATCTACAAGCCCGGCTGCCTCCCAGCCCTTGCTCTCTGAGGAAGTCTCTCTCTCAACCCTTTCCTCTCTTGCTCTGTTCCAACCAAGCTGAGCTCCTGGCTGTCTGCAGAGGCCAGGCAACCGACTGCTCCTGTAACTTGGATGGACTCGGAACCTCACAAAGGCTAAAACAGTACCTTCCAATTGAGCCCCAACTCCCCATCTCTCACTTGAGGACTATAGGCAGAAGCCTTAGCACTGAGCTACAGCTCTAGGCAAAAAGATATAGTTTTTATTGTTTCTCTGGAGTGCCAGAGGCCTCATTTAATCAGCTAATCTAAAGTCACTTTTTGGAGCCAGGTGGAATACCTATAACCCAGCTACTAGGGAAATTGAGGTAGGAGGAATCCAAATTTGCAAACAGCCAGGGCAATGAATGGGACAATGTCAAAATAAAACTAAAACAGGTTTAGGGATATAGCTCATGGGTAGGTACAGTGCCTGCTTAGCACAGAAAAGATCCTGTGTTCCATGCCCAGCATGCAAATAAACAAAGAAGTTAATTGAAAATGAAAATAAGGCAGCCAGGTGGTGGTGGCACACACTTTTAATCCCAGCACTTGGAAATCGAGGTAGGCAGATCTCTGAGTTCAAGGCCAGCCTGGTCTAAAGAGTGAATTCCAGGACAGCCAGAGCTTAACAAAGAAACCATGTTATGAAAAGCCAAAAAAAAAAAAAAGGAAAGGCTAGGGATATGGCTCACTGGCATAGTGATTGTTTATGCAGAGCCCTGGGTTCTACCCGCTGCATACACCACATGCCGTGGCTCATGCTTATCATTTCAGCACTCAGGAGGTGGAAGCAGGAGGATCAAGTTCAAGGTCATCACTGGCTACAGAGCAAGCAAGGCTAGCCTGGGCTACATGAGACTGTCTTGTGAGCAACAAACTGTGAGCAACAGAGACTCATGTAAGTCAAGGAACTGTCAGAACTGGGGGGTGGGGGGGAAGGGGTTGTGCACTGTCTCCTACACAGCCCTTCCTGGGAGGAGGGCGTGAAACTGCTGTTACAGCATTTACAGAATGGTTAACATATTTCTGTCTTTTTAGCACAATATCCGTGTTCAACTGTCCTCAAGCTAAAAGCATGTACAGATATCAGGCCAAGGATTGGCCTAGGGAAAAACATTTTATTTCAAAATTTTATTATTGTGTGTGCATAACGCCCAAGTTACAGAAGACAACTTTGTGTCCTTCCAAATGTACAGTTTTTGGTTTCCAGGACTGTGTAGCAGGTGCTGTGATATACTGAGCCACCATTCTGGCTCACAGACACTGTTGTTGTTATTATTTTTGTTTTTCAAGATAGTGTTGTTCTGTGTAGCCTTGGCTATCCTGGACTCATTTTGTAGACAAGGCTGGCCTTGAACTCAAGAGATGCGCCTGCCTATGCCTTCCAGAGTGCTGGGATTACAGGCGTGTGCCACCGTGCCTGGCCTCAAATGTTATTTTTATTGGTAATTTTGAATTACTATTCTTACCAGTCTCCTGAGATTCTCATGATTTACACTTGATCTTAGCCAAAGGCTGAAATGTGATATTTCCCAACCATTTAAAACTTGAAAACTGGGGCCCACGTGGTGGAAAGAGAGAATAGACTCTGATCTCTACATGTGTGCTATGACATTTGCCCACACACACGAATGCACACAAAACGAATAGATAAAATGTAATAAAAATTTCTTAGCCGGGTGTGGCCCATGCCTTTAATTTCAGCATTCAGGAAGCAAAGGCAGGCAGACCTCTGAGGTTGAGGCCAGCCTGGTCTACAAAGTGGTCCAGGACAGCCAAGGCTACACAAAACAAACAAACAAAAAGCCATTCTTAGCTTGAGGAAGTGTGGCAGGAGTGCAGTCCATCACTCAGAATGACTTGTGTGTCATGATCAGTCCTAGCTTTAGTCTAGTCACACCTCACTGTTGTGCCAGCAACTGTTAGGTTTCAAACAAGTGACAAGGACAAGTGGCTGAGGTGCCTATTTAATACATCAGATTGGACCTGGATTTCAGGTTCTCCCAGCATCCCTCAGTCCCATCTGTTACAGGTTATGGTTGTCATACCCCATCTCCTACCCTGAACTCTCCAGCCCAGGGGCTGCGCTGCCCTTTCCCCAGAGGCTCTTCCTTATATAATCCAGACATTTTGGTTATCCACCCTTTTTGTATCTTCGGCCTCCAAGATGCTTTACGGTTCTCCTCTCCTCCCTCTCCTGTCCCCCACCCCACACACAGTCCAGCTTAGTCTGGTCATGTTCACTCTGGACTTTCCCAGACTTCCCTGCCTCTACCTACACTCTCCCTTTTATCTACAATAAACATGCTCTTCCACCATCCTTAGGAGCAGTCATGCCCTCTCCTTTCCTTTTTTTTCCCTTTTGTTCATTCAGTGGCCACCAAGGACTCACACAGCACCAAAGGCTGATAGTGGTAGGACATTTGTTCCTGTGGGCCTTATTTGCAAACTGAGGTGCCAGAATCCAGAAACTACATTCATTTGGGATTTTCTCCACTCTTCTTTCCCATCTGCCTTGATAATTTTTTTTTAATTTAAATTTGATTTTTCTTTTTTTAGGGACAGGGTTTCTCTGTGTAGCCTTGGCTGTTCTGGATCTTGCTCTGTAGACCAGGATGGTCTCAGACTCTAGAGATCCACCTGCCTCTGTCTCCCAAATGCTGGGATTACAGGTGTACATTACCACATCAAGCAATAGGAGATGCATTTTTAAGTTGTGTGTGTGTGTGTGTCCATGGAGTCTAGGGGAACATGTCAGATTCTCTGGAGCTGACGCTACAGGCAGCTATGAGTTACTTGACATGGGTACTGGGACCTGAATTCAGATCCTTCAGAAAAGTAGTATATGCTCTTAACTGCTGAGCCATCTTTCCACCCTTAAATTAAAAAAACAAAAAACAGTTCTAGAGCAGGAACTCAGGTTGTCAGGGTTGGCAGCCCTGTCCTCACCTACTGTGACATCTCACTGCTTCCTCACTCAAACGCTTTTGATGGCCAAGTACTTAAGTGCCCAGCCAGGTGTGGGGGCCACAGCTGCCTGGGTTTAAATTCAAGCTCAGTCCCTGAGCAGCTGGGGACCTGACCTCTGACTTCCCTGGAGCTCCCATTCTTCACCTGACAAGAGGGAATCGAGTCCATGGAGTGGTGGCATATGCCTTTAATGCCAGCATTCAGGGGACAGAGCCAGGAGGGTACACACTAACTTTGAGGTCGATCTAGTCTACCTAGCAAGTTCCAGGCTAGCCAGAACTACACAGTGAGACCCTGTCTCAAAAAGCAAAAACATAACAAGAAACATAACAAAACATAACAAAAACATAACAAAACAAAACAAAACAAAAACATAACAAAAACATAACAAAAACATAACAAACAAAACATAACAAAAACATAACAAAACATAACAAAAACATAACAAACAAGAAGAGAGGCTAATGACAGCAGGAACGACTTTGGGGTTTGCTGTGATGAAACCGTGTACAGGGACTGCCTGTCCTGGAGACACCAGCTTGTCAAGTGGTGTGTGCCTGGAGTCTGCCTTAGAGTGTTTAATAAGTTTGTTTTGGAGACACGGCTCCCCACGTAGGACCTGGCCCCGCACCCCAGATCCTCCAGCCTCAGCTCGGACAACCTTAAATGGCTAGGTAGCACCACTGCCAGGTTACATATCATTTACTCAGGAGGATGCATCCGGAGAAGTCCTGACCTCACTCGCCAGAGCAAATTACGGCTTGGGCATCAGTCTCTGCTCTGCTGCTTCCTAGCTGCCTGACTGCGGGCCAGCTGCTATCTCCAAGTCCCAGTTTCCTCATGTGAAAAAAAAAAAAATTATTTTAAAGGATTGAGTTGTCAAGGCTGCTGTTGGGAGTCGTGACAGGGACTAAGTATTGAGAAGAGCAAGTATGGGAGAAAGGACTGGGACAATTTCAGCTTTCTCCTACCTACTAACAGTTTTAATAATTACTTTTGTTATGTATGTGTGTATGTATGTATGTGTGTGTGCAGTAGCCGGAAAGGTTAGAGGGTTGGGTTGTTTGGAGAGATCGGCACCTGTGAGTTCTGGGAACTGAACCCTGGTCCTCTGCAAGAACAGTACAGGCTCTTAACCGCGGCGCCACCTCACTAGTCGCTTGCAAATGACATTTATTTGCGTTGGGGGAGTGTGTCACGAAGTGTGTGCGTAGGCCAGGGAACACCTAACAAGAATAGATTCTTTCACCATGCTCGAACTACGGCGATCAGGCAGGGTTGCAAGCGCCACACCAGCTAAGCCACCTCGCCGGCCCACCATACGGGCGCCACTGGCGTAAAACGGCTGCTGGGCCCTGGGAACCCGCTCGCGTCCTCAGGGCCCGCGTCTCCCGCGCCAGGCCACAGGGGTGGGATTGAGGACCTGCCACCCCCATCGCCGTCGCGGACCGGTCCGCACCCCGTACCTACCTGCCCTCCTCCTGACGTCACGCCGCCACCAGCCCGGAAGCACACCCGGCGCCGGGAACCCGCAGAGCGCCCGCCTCTGCGGCGCGAAGGCGCCTGCGCGAGGCGGAGCGAAGCACTTTGGTTATCTTGATTGGCTGATTCTCTTGCAGGCAGCCCAATTCAAGCCGGTCTAGCCGGCAGAAGCCCCGCCCACCCACCGGGGCCCAATCTGAGGTGGCTGCCTGGGCCCCCTCCCGGAAGTGCCAACTTGCCCCCGCAGGCCTAGCGGCTGCGTTTCCAAAAAAAGGTAGTTCGTCATTTTAAAGCTTTGATTTGATTGATTCTTGAGACCAGGTTTCTCTTGTAGCCCTGGTTGGCCCGGAACGCATTATATTGTTGAGGATGACCCTGAACTTTCTGACTCGCCTTGTGATCTCTAAGTACTGGGATTACCCAATGTGCCGCACAGCAACGGCTATTTGTTTATTTATGGATTTTTAAAAGTTACATTTGTGGCCAGGCGTGGAGGCAACGCCTTTAATCTCAACACTCTGGAAGCAGAGCCAGGTAGTCTGGTCTACATAACCAAAGTGAGATACAGCCTCCAAAAAATAAAACCGAATAGTGCATGTTGGAGTGCCAGGGTGTCACGAAGGTGAAGATCTGAGTGAGGGAGAGTTACAGGGCTCTCCGTGGGCCTCTGGGCATGTGCATACACACATACACAGCCAAAACATCCATACAAGTACAATAAATAAATATATCTTAAAAGTGGAAAGCAAAGCCGGGCGTTGGTGGCACACACCTTTAACCCAGCACTAGGTGCTGGGGTCCGATAAAACAAAACAACCCAAACAGTCTTGAGTCCAGCAAAGCGAGACTTTTATCTGAATTAGGCAGCAAAAATTGATCAGTCTGGGACAACATCCAGACCTGGGAATTGACTGTGTCTTTGAACGTTCATCTTGGTAAGCATTTAAGCAGGTGACAGAATCTTACTCATCAGTACTCAGTCCGATACTGATCCATCAGATTTAGGACCTCAGCTGAGACCCTGAAAAGAAATTGGACAGCATTTTTTTAAAGGATGGAACCCCAAGGTGAGGGGGAGCAGCCTGGGCTGTAGCATTGTCCAATCATAGTTTGACAAAAGGGATTGAGCAAGGAAATAAACGTTGGTGACTGGGCCTTTTCCAACTCTCTTGGTTTCAGGGTCCTTGACTCAGCTTTTGCAGTCAGCCTGTTAGGAAACGTGCGAATGTAGGGAAACATACGCCTGTGCGCCTGTTGAGGTTACACGCGGGTTCACAAATCACACCACGAGATCAGTTCCACGTGGGAGGTTTCTTAGGGGAAGGGGAGAGAGAGAGAGAGAGAGAGAGAGAGAGAGAGAGAGAGAGAAAGAGTAAGAGAGTAAGGAAGAATAAGGAAGAGAGTAAGGAAGAGAGAGAGGGGGAGGGCTCCAGTTTTCTTATAGGGTGACCCAGGGCATGCACGGGTAGTTCCAGGTGGTCAGCAGGTGGTCTGGGTGTCTTCACAAACTGGTCTGTCAGGTCCCTTGGGGCTGGCTGTAGAAGTGCCTGCTTACTGATCCCAACACAGCCCCCTCCTGGACTTCTGGCCCAGGATTCAGGATGAGAAGAGAACAGAGGAGTGGGCAAACTGCACGTAATCAATTTAAACCATGACAGGCAATACATTCATGGCTTGTGTGCCTTAGTTTAGATAATTGGCAGCTTCCCCCTTTACATCCTTTATTGGTTAACAAACATGCAACACCTGAAGAAGCAGGGTAGGAGTTGTTTCTGGGCCTGGAAATTTGAACTCAGTTTTGACCCTGCCAGAAATATGGAGGTTGTTCCTGAGGCGGCTGGACTCAAGAAACTGTCTCCTAACACAGGGAGGCAGAGGCAGAGGCAGACAGATCTCTGAGTTCGAGGCTAGCCTGGTCTACAGAGTGAGTTCCAGGACAGCCAGGGCTACATTGAGAAACCCTGTCTCCAAAAAGTCGTGTGTGTGTGTGTGTGTGTGTGTGTGTGTGTGTGTGTGTGTGTGTAAGCAGAAAAAAGAGGTTTATTCAACGTTGGTGCTTGGGAAGTGAGACAAAGATTCAGGGAAGGAACCACCCTAGTCCTGAAGTGAGATAAAAGTTTAAATAAAGGGACAATGATATGCACATTTAAGGAGTCCTAGTCAAGGTGTGGTCTCACCCACTGCTGACCATTGTCTGAGCTTCAGTCTCATGCTGTAAGGCTGTCTGGAAAACTGTTAGAATTGTGTGAAATCTCTTTCCAGAAGTCAAGTGCCACCTCTGGCAGGTGCCCTTTCCTTTGCCTAGCATGAGATTCCTGGGGAAATATTCCCTTTCCTTTGGAGTCCATTATGTCAATAGTCTGATAGAGAGGCAGGAGTCTCTCTAGAATATCATTTCTACCAGGCCCATTAAAACAAAACAAAGGTGAGGAGAAATGTGGGAGACTCTTGAAGGCCCCTCAGTGTTATAAAAGGAGTCAACTACTGGGGCAGGAGGGGGCGGGGGTGAGAAGGGGACTAACAAACAGCTGTGAGAAGAGATTCTCAGACCTACTTTTGAGTCATTCCTTTTCCTTGTAAGCAAGCCTGACACACTCCTGTTGATAACCCTGGCAGAAACTTGTTTATTTACCAGGTCAGACTTCTACGTAATCGTTACTTTGATCTGTTGTGGGTTCTCTTTCTGGAGTGAGCAGATGTCATGGGGAAAGTCTGTGACACAGTACTTGGCAGTGAAACAGGAGAACTGCACATCCAAAGAGGACCTGGGGAAGAGTGACTGCGGGGTTCTGGGTAGCCAGACATGCATCAGAAATGGAGCAGCCTGAACGGGGAGCATCAGAGGAGGAGATTCTGAGAAGTGGACCTTTCTTGTATGGTATCTGTTAACGTGCCTTTAGGCTGTGAATGAAATGTGCCACTAAGGCTGAGCCACTAGGAGTTGGCATATCAGTGGGAGGGATCCCAGGACGTCATTCTTTGTCTAGGTGATGTTTGTCAGGTCTAAAGGAAACTCCATTTTCCAAGATTCCAAAAGGCAGAAGTAACAAATGACTGTTTGTGGTGGCTGTTAGCCTACGAAAGTGCATGCTGGCCTCCAGGCTTCCTCAGTACTGTGTCGGTTACCCACCCTAGCTCTTCTCCCCTCCTCCCCTCCCCTAAACTCCCCCAGCTCACAGGCTTCTCTACCCAGCTGTTCATTCTCCACCACACCCTGCTAGGAGGAATTTCTTAGGCAAGGTTACAAACATCATTTTGGGGTACATGAATGTCTGCTCATAAAAGACAGCAGAGCTTGGGGATCAAAATAGTTAACAATCAAATACAAAGCAACTTCAATTAAAAAAAAAATTCCTAGATAAGATCAGTCTGTAGGCAAGCCTGTAGGGCAATTCCTTTTTTTTTTTTTTTCTTTTTTTTTTTTTTTTTTCTTTTTCTTTTTTTTTTTTTTTTTTTTTCAAGACAGGATTTCTCTGTGTGTGCCTTGCTGTGTTGGACTAGAACTCACAGCAATCATCTGCCTCTGCCTCCCAAGTGCTGGGATTAAAGGCATGCATCACCACACCTGGCTGGACATTTTCTTAATTAGTGATTGATGTGGGAGGACTCAGCCCATTATGGGTGGTGCCATTCTTAGGCTGGAGGTCCTGGGCTCTAAAAGAAAGCAGGATGAGCAAGCCATGGAGAGCAAGCCAGTAAGTAACACTCCTTCATGGCTTCTTCATCTGCTCCTGTCTTTAGGTTCCTGCCTTATTTAAGTTCCTGTCCTGACTTCTTTTGATGATGAACCAATATTGTGGAAGTGTAAGCCAAAGAAACCCTTTCCTCCCCAAGTTGCTTTTGGTCATGGTGTTTTATCACAGCCATAGCAACCCTAACTCAGTCATGGTGTTTATTATCACAGCAATAGAAATTGCGACTGAGATAGATGGCTCAGTGGTTATGTGCACTTAACTGCTCTTGCAGAGGACCTAGACTCAGTTTCCAGAACCCATGTTTGGCAGCTCACAACTGACCGAAACTCCAGATCCAAGGGACCTGACTCCTTCTGGCCTCCACGGACACCTGCACGCTTGTGGCATTCACAAACTCAAACAGACACAGACAGCTGTACATAAACAGAAGGGGAAGTTGGTCAGTGTGAGCAGGTCCTCCACTCCATCTGCACTCGTTTCCAAGACCGGAAGCAAGCTGGTGTGATGGTGCATGCCTGGCATAAAGAGTTCACCAGCTCACTGGCTTCATTTTGAAGAAAAATTGACTCCGTAGAACTTAGTTGCCTTTTAATTATTTAACTGGCAAATGAAACCCTTTCCTGCCCACCTAAACAGCAGCACCACCTCCTCTGTTTCCCTTCTGCTTAGTTTAGTCTGCTCTGAATCAGCATGCCGGTTGCTGTATTGATGGGGGCCAGAGCTCTGTGGCCCAGCCACGTCCCTGACCCCAGCTCTGAATGCTGCTGCACTGAGAATTACATCCTCAATACATGACTTTGGTGTGTGTGGGGGGGGGAGGCGCATTTCAGTCCAGACCACAGCTCCTCGGTGTTCCTGTCCCATAGGCCGTTTCAAAGCACATAAGGGACTGAGCAACATCCAGATGCACTTTCCGGCATCAGGGCCTCACAGCTGCCTATAATCCCAGCTCAGGCAGGGATTCAGCACCTCTGCTTTCCCATAGCTCCTAAGCACATGCACACATACCCACACAAAGACTCAGATATGCAGAACTAAAAGTAAATCTAAAACAAACAAGAATATAGTGGACAGCTCCCTCAAAGACCGTGGGGACATGTCTACTGTGTGTATTAGTGACTTTGACTGGCAAAACAACGTAAGGATAGCAGGAGTTTGCTTTGGGAGATTTGGGTTTTGTTTGCTAGTTTTGCTTGTTGAGAAAGGGTATCAACTATATATTTTTGGCTAGCCTAGAACTAGCTACGTAACTAGACAGGAAGTAGGTCACAGAGGGTGTTGTCCTTGAAGGATATATGCTGTCCCTACCCGCTTCCTTACAGGCTCTTTTGCTTCCTAGCAGTCATGAGATAA